AGCCATTAAGCCGTTCTTTATTATACAATATATATATTTTTAATCAGGAATGCTAATGGAAATGCAATAAAAATATCCCACTTTAATTTAATCCAGATAAACAACATTAATACATTCCCCTATACACGTCTAATATATTATTATTTGCTCAATACATATGTAATCCATTTATCGCGATTTTTCTATTGGCCAGTTGCTAGAAAATAATTTAAATTTGTTTCTTTTGATCTATTGAATTTTGTGCTACTTCCGTTTTAACGTTTTAGGATTATTTTTCTCTAAACCGTTCGAATTTTTTTCTGTCAACACCACTTCTAAACTGAAATCACGAATTGCAAATTTTCGAAACTAAAATCATAATCGTAATTCACTAATAACATTGTATCTGAATGAGAAACTTGTATTCTTCGCAGCTTCGGTTCCATTATGGCCCAGTTTGAACACATAGAAATTGTGAAATTCATGATTTCGAAGGCTTTAAATGTTTGTCAAGAAAAATATAGTAAAATTGATGGAAGCCGCCGATTCTTTAACTCAATAATCATCAAATATTATATTATTTAGAAATAAATTGTCATTTAAAATAAATCTTTTACACAAAAGCAGTATAAAATTGCAGGGTTAGAAGGAGATTAATAATTTTATGATGAATAAAGGAAATTCAAAATTTGTGTTTTTTTTATTAGTTGAAGAATTGTCAACAATTATTAAATTTTGGCTCGTATTTCTTCAGTCATAATATTAGTTGCTTTTCATTGCAACTACTCGGGTTTCTTAATCTACGACCGTCATTAAACAGCGCCAATCGAAAATTTCAGTCAAAACTCGAAATCCACTCCCTTTGTCTCGGATTTACGTAAAAAAATTATCTCTTCATTTGTTTCTGGCAAAATACAAAAAAATATCTGCAGAGAATGAAACCAAATCCTTTGCTTTTGTAATGGCAATTGTTCTTTTCTTATTTGATGTTCAATTTCAAATCAAATATTTAGAAATCACGTTATCCATCTATCTCCCTATCTATCTATCTATCTATCTATCTATCTAAGAGAGTCTGTGTTTTCTCGTGAAAATGTTGATTCTAAATGAACAGAACTGACTTTTTGTCAGTTTTAAGCTCAATTCTTTCTCGAAATTGTACAGAATTATCTAGACAAGTCAAAATAATGTGTTTAATTAGATTTTCTTTAAGCTGTACGAACTTATTTAAACAACTAATAAATAGTAAGTTAACTGAATTTGAAAGTAAATAATAACAATAACAATAATAATAATAATAATAATTTAAAAAAAATTCAAATCAAAGTAACAAAAATTTGGAAATTTAAAACTACAATTATTCCTGTTGTGATCGGGGCATTGGGTATGATAAAGAAATGGTGCCGAAAATCATGTGAGCACAATTCCTGAACTCATTAACATCACGGAGCTACTAAAGATTACTCAGTGCGGTAAGGCACATATCATCCATAAAACACTTTCCATCCAAACGAAACGTTCAAAATATGCATAGTGCTTTCCTAGAGTACCTCTTTTTTACTCTCTTACAGTACCTTTTTTTATTAATCTCCTACAGTACCCTTTTTTTTTTACTCTCCTACAGTACCCTTTTTTTTACTCATAGACACTGGAAGGGACTTGGTAATTAAGCGCTTAAAATTTCTCAGGCAGATGATATCACACATAATAAGAGATCAAACAAAAATAATTCAACTGCTTCTGTCATGGTCAGTTCTATGTCGCTATGTAGTAGGAAATTGAACTGAGAATAACGACAAAAAGAACTTTAGAATATAGACATCGTGCAGAAAATGTTGTTTCTGCAGAAATCTAATCGAGGTAAGAGAAAGGATGAGTATTCACCAAATTCATGTTTAATATGACAAAGAATTCATTTAACATTGTTAGACAAACTAGGATTTCGAAGCAGACATCAATCAAAAATTTGTGCTGAAAACAATTTAAAAAAAGGTGTAGACATCTGTCCGATAAGTTTAAGCAAATATAAAAACTAGCAGGATCTTTCTCGCCAGACTCTATCTTACATTTTTACAAGTCTACCATTCGTACTTGCCTTGAATACTGCTGTCATATCTAGTCTGTTGCTCCTGCCATATATTTAGTATTTCTTCAGTGTTTCTGCTTCTCACCTGGCACTTTCACCACCGACGTAACGTAGCTTTCCTGTGCCTTTTCTATAAATACTTTCATGGTGATTGTTTGGATGAACTTTCCGCTGTGGTACAAAAATTGTACACATGGGAACTAGTTAAGACTTCATAGAGACTTAAGGTATTATGGTGACTGTAGTGAGAATGGTAAGTGACAATGTTTTGTTTTGTTGTAAGGGATACTTTAGTATTTTTGGTCAGTAATTATAACGAGCTAAGTTTAAGATAAGACAGATTGAAGATCAGTCTTCCTCATTTCCCCTCTTGACCTTGTGCCATAATTTTGTATTTTTCAAAATAAATATTATTTTTCTCTATGGTATCTAAGCTTTATGAATTTTTTGCTGAGTACTAGATTGGCGTCAAGGTCTCATCATATTATAGCTGGAATGCCTAGATATAACTGTAAGTTCTATGCTAACAGTTTCTTCTCTCGCACTTCTTGCTTGTGGAAATCTCTTCCAATTTCTATTTCCTAGACAACTTTGATCGTTATGTACTGTCTTCTTACTTCTTGTTCTTTCAAGGCTTTCTCTCCTTAATACTTTTTTCCTCATATTCTCAGTAACCCATTGCGTATTTGTGGCTTTATTGCCTTACTTGGGTAAAATTAAAGCAAAAATACCTTGAAATGCAACAAATTCTGACAACTAGAATTAGTGATTAACTTATGTTTCTGTTTTTCTTTCACCGCATGCATGTATCTTCTTCCTTATTCATTTTCAACAGTCTAAATACAGTATTTACATTAGTCGGACTATTGTCCTCATCTTTGTCGCCATATTTGTCACAACGTTTCGGCCTTCTTCAGGTGGTTGGAATTTCGAACCGAACCCTTTATTTCGATCACTGGGGTAGACTGTTCTATTTCCACGTGCCATGTTTGATGGATGTCAGTTATCTCCTGGTAATTTTCCCTCTGAAAGTTATCAGTGTTAACCAGGTATTGAACTCACCTTCTTTGGGTCTGTCACTGGATCTAACCAACGCCTTTATCCACTGTGCCATGTGTCCTATGACACATGGCACAGTGGATAAAGGCGTGTCCTAGGACACATGGCACAGTGGATAAAGGCGTGTCCTAGGACACATGGCACAGTGGATAAAGGCGTTGGTTAGATCCAGTGACAGACCCAAAGAAGGTGAGTTCTATACCTGGTTAACGCAGTGGAGAACTTTCAGAGGGAAAATTAGCAGGAGATAACTGATAACTGACATCCATCAAACATGGCACGTGGAAATAGAACAGTCTACCCCAGTGAGCGAAATAAAGGGTTCCGTTCGAAATTCCAACCACCTGAAGAAGGCCGGAGCTTACAACGGCCGAAACGTTGTGACAAATATGGCGACAAAGATGAGGACAATAGTCCGACTAATGTAAATACTGTACATAATACCTCATCTCAGAAATATAGACAGACCCAACAGTCTAAATGTTTTACAAATATATCTTATATTCCTATACATAAAACGAATAAGAACTGCACGAATCTTTTCTACTGCATCCTCTCTTTTATTTTTTACGCGTTATCACCCCAACCTAAATTTGAAACTTTTTTCTCAATTGCCCTTTGATATTCCCCGAGCAAGTTGTCACCCCTCGTTTTCTTTCGCCTCTATTCGATTTGTCTTTCAGGCTTACGGCCAGTAGCTTGTTGAAACGTCGGTCATCGTACAATGACCTAAGTTAAGCAACGCCGAACCTGGTCAGTATCTAGATAAGTGACCGCTTCGGAATTCCAGGTGCCGTAAGCTTGGATGTGCGGGTGGTGTAGTGGATAACGGCTAGGAGTTGGAAATCGGCGAGCCGATTTCCAATTCCAGTCGGGTTCATTATATTTACTTAGACGTAAATACCCATGGGAATGGCATACACCCACCTTTTCTCCCTCTAGCTAATCAATGGGTTAATTAGTCTGACTTAACAGTAAATCATTTGTATCTCCAAAAGATTCTTACAATCTAATATCCTTTTTTGGTTTTAACTAACCTCCAAAAGTTTGATAAGCCGTAAAAAACAATTTAATCAGTCCGTCTGTTTATGGAAAATAATTTATTGTCCTGTCTTATGGATAAAGTTGTTACTAGGCCTCGGCCTTCCAGCACAGTTTTCAAGGCAGACAAGCAGCTATTTCATACATAAATGGACTTTTGGCGCAATACAATCTTCCGATTTCTTTTTATTTGATCTAGTAATTATATGGCCTAAACATTTTTACCAAATACCAAGAATATTGTTTCGAGTAGAAAGCCAGAATGAAAGAACGGAGTTCGATGTAAGAGGCAACCGTGACGTCCTGACAATTTCTTCGGGTTATGAAGTTTACCAGAGGGAATGAAAAGACATAAAAAGAAGAAATTAAATCAAGAAGTGACGAGAAGAATATAAGTAGAAAATGGAAAAGAATAAAAAGAAGAATAAATAGATGAAGGAAAGATCCAGAAGGAAAGATCCAGAAGGAAAGATCCAGAAAAATAAAAAAAGAATGAGAGGATTAAGAAGAAGAGAAAAATATAATGGAAACAAGTCGAATATTAACCGATATTAATCCTAGTGGTCCGCGTAATATTCTCTTTCATCACCTTTACAATCTCAGTAACCCTCTACCTTGGGGGTCCCTTAGGCCTAAGCCTTTTATTGGGGGAAGCTAAAAGTAAAAATAAATAAATAAAAGAACAGAAGAACGAGAAAAGAATAATGATAAGAAAGAAGACGGGGGAATGAAAATAAAAGAAAAAAAGTAAAAAGAAGAAGAAGACGAAGAACAACAGCAACAACAACAATAGCAATAGAAAGAAAAGAAAGAAGATGTATGTGAATGAAAAATTTTAAAATGAAGAAAAAATATTAAGAATGGGGAGTAAAAAAAAAGAAAAGAGGAAAGAAGGGAAAAGCAAGAAGAATAGGAAAAAAGAAGAAGAAAAGAACAACAAGAAAAGAAAAATCAGAACAACAAGGAAAATGAAAATAATAAAAAAAATGACGGAGACAGTAAAAAGAAAATGAAAATATAGATAGGATGGGGGGGGATAATAATAATAATAATAATAATGGGAAGAAGAAGAAGAAGAAGAAGAAGAAGAAGAAGAAGAAGAAGAAGAAGTTGTAACTGAAGAAAGGAAATAAAGAGAGAGAATGAATACAAGAGGAAGAAATAAAATGTAAAAAAAAAAAAAAAGAGCGAGAAAAATAAGGGAGACAAGCAGAAGAAAGTGAATGAGAAGAGAAAAACAAAAATGAGGAAACTGAAATAAAAATATAACAGTAGGGTAGAAAAATAGAATGAAAAAGGAAAATAAAAAAATAAAGAGCAAATAAAAAGAATGAAGAAGGAAAAATGGAGACAAAGGAAAATACGAAGGAAATAAATAAAAAAAAGGGAAGAAATAAAGAAAACAAATGACGAATACAAGAAGATATTTATCCAATATCATAGCCTTGTGCCAGATTTGGGTAAGCTTATTGAACAGCTATATATAATTATATGCATGTATTTATTTATATATCTATGATTACATTTAAAATCTAACATGTCATAGTTTTCCAGATCAGAAAAGAGAACTGGAAAAATATTTGTATAAACGAAAAAAAAAAAAGAGTGCGAGAGAGAGAATTCTGACGGAGACGAAATACCCAAGTGTCTTTAGGTTTGAAAGGATGCGAAGCAAAAAAATGATGTTATTTGCTCGTTGTGGGAGGTTAGTTCATGTTTGGTGAACGCGTAAAAAGATCGGAGCCCATAAGAATGAAATTCGAATCAGAAAAAAAAAAAAAAAAAAAAATGAAGTTGTTTCTGCATCACGTGGCCATCTTGTTCCGGACTAAAGCAAACTTCAGCCCCATCGCACATTTCATAATTTAAGCAGAAAAAAACATACATCATCATAATCTTTAACACCGATTACAAAACTGTATTTCTGAGAATACAACAATATTTGTATCTTTTTGCCAGGGAGAAATTGTTTAAGTTAACAAAGTAATTGAGGTATATTACGTTACTTATCACGATTTTCTTCTCTTACAAATCTATTCCTTTCTTCTTATAATTTTTTAAAAACATTTCACCCCAAGAAAGGTAATGAAGCCACAGAGACACAAGGAGTTACTGTCTATGAAAGAATAAGAAAAAAAAACACATTAAGAAACGAGAACAGCAGAAGAAGAATTATCAAAAAGAGAGTAAATAACGATCGATATTACATTTAAATATTTGAAGATCAAATTTGCCTGGAAATCAAGAAGGCGAAAAAGAGTCCCACCGGGGAGAAGAGTAAGAAACGAAATTGTTGTGAAAAAAAAATTAGGGTAACATCCATCCATTTCAACAATAAAATGATGACACCTTGTTGCAAATCTAGTAGTAGCTTATATTTATAAAGCCTAGCTACCATAGAGAAAAGTTCATCAGAAGAGTTACCATGGCGTCCTGGGTATAACGATAAACTACATCCGGGTTGTTTTGAGGAGCCTGGAACCACTTTTTTTTTTAATTGCTGTTGTTCCCAGGTCTATTCTGACCCGGAGTTAGGGCCCCAGCTGTGTGCAAATAGTTAACCCTAAACTGGGGTCAAAACACTATAAAAGCATAAAAATAGATTTTTATCGTAGAAATGCCAGCAATATGCCAGCAGGTTTGTATCATTAAATCATTATTATCTCAAAACAAAAACAAAAAAAAATCTTACAATATAAAAATATTTTCTGTTTTTTTCTGCAAAAAGTTGGTAAATCATAGAAAATGAATGAATCAGTCAAATCGTATCAAGATGTCGGATACCCCATAAAATGAATATTAAGGAACTCTGTAGTGTTAAAAAACATCCTTATTTAAATAACACAAGTTAAATCATATAAGATTCGTGAAGATGTAAAAATAATCTTATAAAATTGCAAAGACCGTATGTTGGGCAGACCCTTTTTTCTTCTCTTTCTAAGAATTTTGAATTATTGTCTGCTTCAAGTCTACAGGTACAGTTAAACTTAAAAATGAAATCAATGTAAATCTTTAGCTGATGAAGGGAATAAAAGTACCGAAACATGTGCCAACATGAAAAAAAATGTTTTTGTTTTCAATTCTATCGTGTTGGTTGTATAGTTCGATAATTTTGACTTTAAATATAAATATAACGACATTAACATCTCCATCTATCGAAAACTTGAGAAGTTTACATGGAAATCAAAGAAGACTGATTTGCACATTGAATTAAAGAAAAAAAAAGTTTTGTTTATTTCAGAGCAAAGACAAATAAGATAGAGGAGGGGACTGAAGTAAGTAGAGTGTGTTGCGCCAATGTTTCATCCAGAATGAAGATTTCTAACCTTTTAACATCAGCTCGAACATTGTCCCCAAACAAACAGGGAATACACAAACGTCTAACGCATTAAGCAGTCTCTGAAGATTTTGAATGAGAAAATGATGTATTTATTCTTCTCATTTACTCAGTTTAGTACAAAGACCTAGTTATAATCGGAGAGGAAGTCTATGGTGAACTAATTCGAAAACTATTAATAACTAGCAGTAGAGCCCGGCGTTGCCCGGGGATGTAACAGTAAGAGATAGATCAAGTATCGACCATCATAAAGACTGAAAAATAAAATTCACAAAGATTATTGTTTAAGGTTGACGGACACGCATGTCTTAATTAGTTTTTTTTTTTTTTTACGAATTGGTCAAACCCAAACAAAAACATTGTTTTCAATCGTTATGAGTCTATCGATTGAATAGAATTTTATTATAAACAATTGTCTTGTAAATGAAGACAATAAGAAACACTACCTGCCAAAAAAAAAGTGAAGTTTTGTTGAAATCGGTTGAAAAATGTAGGAAATCCGATCCCATATATAAACAAACACACACACACACACACACACACACACACACACACACACACACACACACACACACACACACACACACAACCTGGGTTTAAGTATAACTCGATATGAGTTGTCCCCTTTCATTCTCGCGATGCCTCTTAATCGTTTTTTTCAAATTGATTTCGTGAAAAAACAATTGTGTTTTTCCCAATTTTGGGCGCTGTCAGAACCACCGTAAGGTAATTTTACGTAGTCCCGTGAAGTTTTGTTGAAATCGGTTGAAAAATGTAGGAAATCCGATCCAATATATAAACGTACAGACACACACACACACACACACACACACACACACACAACCTGGGTTTTATAATAAGTATGATTAATAAACATTTTAAATATCCCTGTGTACTCATCAGCTATAATATAGGAAATGAAGAAACCGGACAAGAAATACTTCAGTCTAACGCCGAAAGTTGCTAGAAAAGTAAAACATTAACCTAAGCACTGGAGTCAGGTTCTTAAATAACCTCGTCAAATCGAAACTTTCATATGAAATTCATGCTATGACGCTAAATACGTTCATTAATAACTAAACTTACAACTCAATGCACTGGCATCTCGTCTACAGACGCTCTCTCACAGACGCGCCATCAACTCTCTCTGTCTTTTTTACAAATACTTTCATGGTAATTGCTCCGAGGAGCTGCATTCGCTGGTTCCCAGACTTCATGAATTCAAGCGCCCTACGAGGCTGGCATCCCGCTCTCACCCTTTCACTGTCGAAACTACTAAATGTAGCCGTATCTTCTACTCCAATAGCTTCATGTCTCGCACCTCTCGCCTGTGGAACTCCCTTCCCTATTCCAGTTTCCCTGAGAGCTATAATCTCCAACTATTCAAATTTAATGTCAATGGACATCTCCAATTGCCTTGATCTATCCACTATCCTTCTCTTCATCCTTTCCTCTATCGCTCATATCTGATCTTGCTCCAAATCTTCTGTAACCCCTTATGTCCTAGTGGCTTCCCACCTTGCTTGGGGTGAAACGCTTAAAAAAAATAAACACTTTCTCAGATCAATGACTAAAAAATTGACATCGAGTGAATGAAGACTGCAGATCTTGGAGAAGGCCAATCCTACCTCGAGCCTCATGGACTAGGGATACAGAATCTCAACCTAAGAACTGTTTGAAATAGCAGAAAACACATCATTTCCTGATTTCCAACAGCGGCAACAATTAAAATGAATAGCATGTATAACTCGAATAGAAAATAAGGATATGATTAAGAGAGTGACGTTTTACTCTACTTCAAAGAAAAGCTAAAGAAGGAAACGGTCGCTCAATACTGGAAACAGCGATAACACTTGAGAAATCTATTTACCTGAAAGTTTGTTTTAACAGAAAGATTTATAAATTTTCAATCGACTGGCTGTTCGTTCAATGAATGTCGAAGGAAATGATTAACATTATCATTGCCATCAGTCAGTTACGTGCCATGCGTGATACAAGTTTAGGCGATCATGTATCTTTCAACAGTTTGAAAGTTTCACCCAGCTGCAAAGGAAGACGCAGGTTCAAATTCTGCCGAAGGACGCATTTTCATTAACAAGATTTCTCAAATGTACAGGCAGATAGACGAAATAACTTACTGTTTAAAATAGTTGAAAGTCTACTCAAATACGGTTATCCATTCAGTCAGTTATGTGCCATGCGTGATATCTAGGCGATCATGTATTTTTCGATACATGACGGAGGAGGCAGATTTTTTCCCGCAGTAGGTTGCCATTTCTTTCTGCGGTAGATCAATTGCCATCCAAGGCTATAGAACCGGGTCTGTCCTACTATTTACCCATAGTGTGCTTGATTAACTGTACAGTCACTCAGTTATTACCAGTTATTGCCATGCATGATACATGCTTAGGCAATCATGTATCGAAAGATACATGACGGGGGAGGCAGATATTTCCCGCAGTAGGTTGCTTTTTCTTTCTGTGGTATATCGTTTGCCATCCAAGGCTATAGAACATAGTCACTCCTGCTATTTACCCATAGTATGATTGATTAAATGTAGTCAATCAGTTATGTGTCATGCGTGATACACGCTTAGGCGATCATGTATCTTTCGATACATGACTGATGAGGCAGATTTTTCCCGTAGTAGTTTGCCATTTCTTTCTCCGGTAGACCAGTTGCTATCCAAGGCTAAAGAACCCGGTCTGACCTGCTATTTACCCATAGATGGTGGGGGTAGAAGAAGAGCATTCATACCTTTCCCAAGGGTATTAGCACGTAAATGGATCCGGCTGGGATTCGAATTCGGAACACTGATTCCTCAATCCGACCCACTATCCATATTAACAGTATCATTACTGTTTGCTATATAAGAATCTCAGTAACCGAAATAAGAAACATCTAAAATCTCGGCGTTTTATCTCGTCTTAATCAATGGCCATTAGTGTCTGTGAGAAACACGCACCTATCTTAGCCACGAGTCAGGTTAAACCTTGTATTCGATTTGAGTCGAGAAGCTCACAGGTAGTCCCAACCCTGAAATGAACTTGCTGGAAGCTCTCCGGGATAGAAAACACTAGAGGACATTTTGTATTTGTCAAAAA